CTCATTAAACAGATCCATCAAGGGCAAGTGCAATTAAGAATATGCCTCCTCCTCCAACAAATGTTACTAGGTTACCAGCATTTCTGGGACTAGCAAACTGTTATCAAATTTATATACTTAATATGCATAATTTGAGAGCTCCACGGAACAATTTACTTAAAAAAGCGTAAAGTGGAATTGGAGTGATAAGTGTCAGGTGTTTGAAGAAATCAAGAAAATACTAACATCAGATTTAAACATTAGTGCACTACAATCTAAAAGCAAAAATCGTATTGGCTTCAGATGCTAGTGGCTATGGTATATGAGTGGTAATTCTTCATAAATATGGTAACAGTAACATGAAAGCCATTGTGCATGTTTTGTGTTTGCTACTACCAACAGAAAAAAACTACAGCCAGATTGAAAAAGAGGCATTAGCAATAATATTTGCAGTGAAAAAAATTCACAAATTTATAAACGGAAAAAGTTTTTGTTTGCAGACGGACCATTGACTTCTATTATCAATTTATGGTTCAAAAAAAAGGAATTCCTACACATACAGCAAATAGATTACAATGCTGGGGTACCATCTTATTAAATTATGATTTCAGGATGGAATACCAACCGTCCAAAAAATGATGACATGCTGATGGTTTGTCAAGATTGATACCAAAAAATATTGAACAATTTGAGGACACTGTTATTGCCGCATTAAAAAGTGAAATAGAAATTAAAAATATATTATACAATGTGTGACGTCGTCCCCCTGGTTGCAGCGTCGACTCTGTCGTTCGATCTCGTTCAAGCGCGCGTCATTGTTCGCTCCTCGCTGCTCCAAGTGTGACGTTCTAACCCTTTGGTTAGATGAATACCAACCTCGTCGTTCCCAACTCGCTTCCAATGCCTGGTTACTAGGGTAACTGCACTGATCTCCGGTCTGCCTACCCACGTTGTGATTAGATCTTAGACAGATGGGATCAAACAGGGATTGGGGCCGTATGCAAGCTGAGTTCAACGGGGTGATAACACACACAAGAAAAAAAAAAAAAAGGTCAAAAATTATTGAAGAAAAAAAGGTAACAACTTTTTATATCTAGATGTTCGTTACACAAGATTATTCCTACCTCCCGACCCGTTCTGTGGACTGTGGCACCAAGCTTCTACCATACAACTTTAAGGCTTCGAGTTGCCTGCTCTCTAGAAATTTGCATTTCGGGTGTGATTTGGTTTCGACACTGGGCGCTGATCTCTACTTGTCGTTCACGGCTGATTTCTCTCTCGTCGTCCGTGGCTGTAACTAACTCTCTCCTCAGAGTCTGAACTATTGTTCACTCATCTCTGCCGTCAGTGCGCGAATTAACTTCTTCTCTTCGGCTTCGGTTGGACGAGTTTATTCACTTCGGCTTGAGTTGGGCGAATTTCTTCAAAAACTTGGGTTGGATGAATTTCTCTTCTTAGGCCAAAACGGAACCGGCCTTTCTTGCCAAAAAGGGGGGACTAATGAACAGGGCCCGCCGTCCGGCGTCCTCCAATTTCGTCCGAGGCGCAACCCAACTCAACTTCTTCTTCCGAGGCTTCTCCAACTGATTTCTGTCGATTGGGGTCCTGCTTTTATTGAGGCAGTCAAAAACTGGGGTGGGTCTGTCGGGCGCCAGGGTTTTTCTTTGATAATTCTAAAGTCGTATTATTTCTGATTAGGGATTTTCCATTATCGGTAACTTACTTTCACTCCTACTTCCTTACTGTGCCTCTGGGGAGGCGTATACCCGCTTCCCTGGTCCCTCGTATGTCAGGTGACCGCTCTCGACCAATGGGGTCCTGGTCGGGCGTCTTTCCTCCTCCTCGCACATCATGTGACCGCTCTCGACCAATGAGACTCTGGTCAGGTGTCTCTCCTCCTCCCTCATGTATCATGTGACTGTCCTCGGCTAATGAGACTCTGGTCGGTATATTTCCTCCTTCCTTCGTGGACGTCTCTAATCGGGCGTGGACAATCCGTGGCTTTGTTCTGGGGAAGAAACACCTTGCTTAAAAAAAAAAAAATTTAAATTTGCCCTTTTCGTATGTGATCGAATGACCCTATCGGTTTCTTTTACACGTGGTATCTGTCAAAACAGCCTATCGCTAATTGGATGCGATCTAAGAAAGGAATTCTCCTAGACTGCGTGGCGTTCTCTAAACTAATACAAATATTTCACCTTTTTCTTTTCCTCAAGCTTGTTAACAAAAATCTTAATTATCTCAAAAAAACATTTTCTACATCACCTTGTGTGGCCCTCCGTTCAATTCTGGTATGGTCTGGGTTCTTGTATTAATGCTTTGTTTTCATATATACTTCCCCATCTGTTACCTATCATCTCAATGACATCCTTTTCATTTGTTACTTATCAATATTTTTTTTTTTCCATTGCCCCTAAAATTTTATTCTTCAGCCAAATTGATAACAAACTCCCATCCTCCGCGGACACGAAAGTAGGTCGGTGCTTGACCTGATATTTTTGACATCTGATATGTGCCAGTCGAGCGTGTGTGTTTTCGCTTACGACCTGTTTGCATATTATATTTTTTTTCTTTCTTTTTCTTTTTTTTTTTTCATTGTCTCTAAACTCTATTTCTTCAACCAAATATAACAAACTTCCATTTTTTCGTGGATTTCGGTCAGGTACTTTGACCTAGATATCTTTTGACACCTGTTATGTGTCAGCTGAGTGTGTGTGCTTATGACCGGGTTTTGTACCATCTATTTCTCTTTCTTTTTTTTCTTCTTCCTCCTTTCTTTCTTTCTTTCTTTCAGATCGCCTAAACGCAATTAGAGAATTATTCTCAACTCTGAAATATTTTTCATCTCTAAATAACTATCAAATGGTTAACAAACTGAAAAAATAAATCATATATTTATGAATATCTCTTTTCAGTTTTCCAATTATGCATGGTGCCACAATGTAGAACACAAACTACCAGTTACCCTGGAAGAAATAAAAGTAAAAGCAAAACAAGACATGTTTATTTTGGAAATAAAAAAACAACTAAAAAGAAGTTAAGTAAGAAAGATGATTTTTAGAATGACATCCAGACTTGAACACTTACTTGATGTGTGGTAGAGTACTGATGTTTGCACAAAGAGTAGTAATACCTATCATATTACAAAAGCGGATATTAAATGAATTTCATAGTGGACATCTGGGAATTTCAAAGGTGAAATCTCTTATAAGAAGTTATGTAGACTGAACCAAAATGGATCAAAACCTTGAAAAATTAGTAAAAGCCTGCTGAGGTTGTGCTCTGGCAGCAAAATCACCTACTATGAAATTACAGCCTTGGCCAAAGGCAGATACTCCATGGTCAAGACTATACATAGATTTTGCAGGTCCAATAAACGGATTACATTATCTTGTGGTAGCGGATAGCGTTACTAAGTGGCCTGAAATTTGTAAGTGCAAAAAACCAACTTCTATAGTTACAGTGAATTTTTTTACACAAACCATTTGCAAGATATGGCATTCGGATGCCATAGTTGTGGGTAACAGTACACAATTCATGGCTTACAAATTTAAAGATTTTTGTAAAATGTTCTTGAACATATTACTACCCTGCCATATCATCCAAGGTCAAACGGACAAGCTGAACAGTTTGTGGGTACTTTTAAGGGGGCTTTAAAAAAAAGCAAGTAATGAAAAAGTGAGTGAAGAAGCACTATAAAAATTCTTGAGAGAATAGTAAATAACACCAAATCCCAATACACAATCAGGCATGTCGCTGGCAGAATTGATGTTTTAAATTTAAAAATTAAATCGATTGACAAGTTTTACGAGGTCAAAAAATTAAATAATAACAAAAAAGGATACAAAATTTTCAAGTTGTTTTTTGAGAATATATAAAAATATATATAAAAAATGGAATATAAAAAATATATATAAAATGGAATATAAAAAATATATATATAAAAATGGAATATAAAAATATATATATAAAAAATGGAATATAAAAATATATATATAAAAATGGAATATAAAATATATATATATAAAAATGGAATATAAAAATATATATATAAAAAATGGAATATAAAAAATATATATAAAAATGGAATATAAAAATATATATATAAAAAATGGAATATAAAAATATATAATAAAAAATGGAATATAAAAATATATATATAAAAAATGGAATATAAAAATATATATATATAAAATGGAATATAAAAATATATATATAAAAATGGAATATAAAAATATATATATAAAAATGGAATATAAAAATATATATATAAAAATGGAATATAAAAATATATATATAAAAATGGAATATAAAATATATATATAAAAAATGGAATATAAAAATATATATATAAAATGGAAAAGAACTGTGGGATGATAAGGTCATGAATTGGAAAAATAATATAAATGGTAAAAGGAAAAAAATGGGAACACAAAAGGCATTGAAATCAGTTAAAGAAAAGGTTTACTGAAGAAAGGCCTGCAAGAAAGGAAGAACAAATGCAAGTACTGTATGATATTTTTGACGTGCCAACACCCCAAAAATTAGTTGAATGTACAAGTATGATAACCAGAAAAATGAAATGTACAGAAAAACTAGAGGTTGACCCAAAACAAAAGATATATAATGTTATTTTTATTGGATACTTGTATTTGAGTAAATGCTCCATTTATTTATTAAACAGTATATTTATTTTTGTCTACCGGCCTGAATATTTGAGAAATCTTATTAGGAAAAAAATATGAGCACTCTGACAGGATTTGAACCTGTGTTCCTCTCGAGGTAACTGTTATTAGATCTGATGTGCTTTGACCTATGCTTGTATTTTCATTTTTTATATATGTACCTGTCACACTATTTGATTATTCTTTAAAGATAAATAGTTACAAATACTAATTTTATTGTACAGACATTGATGATATATCCTAAAATCTGTTATTGTATAAACAAAGAGAAGAAAAGGAGGGAGTGATGAAACAAAACCAAAAGTTTTACTCAACATTCTCTAATTTTATTTTTACCTTGATTCATGTAGGAATCTATTTGCTCCTCGAGGCTGATGGGCCACATATGAATGAGGCTCTGCAGAATATTTGTTCTGTTCAGGGTCACATATCACACTTCTACAATATAAAGAAAATTATTTTTTATATTTACAATTTTAACATTTTACAAATTTATGTTTGCAGATGCCTTCATTAAATGTTTAATGATTTTATTATTTTTTTAAAACCAAAAGAATCAGATAATGCATTTACAATGAACAATAACTGTTAATATTTTTTGCACTAAAAGCTTGATTTTTGTCATAATTTTTCAATAAATCTCTAACATATATTAAATATCACAATAATATAAATTACAAATACTTGAAAGTATAGAAAAATATTTTTGGAAGTGAAAATAAACAGAAAATGAAAGAATTGTGACAAGATAGTAATATTTTTTTTTTAGAAAATATAAAAGTTAAATCTTTTGTAGTAACAATCATAGAAAATAAATTATTTTGAAAAGCAAATTAGCCATGATGCAAGTTAATTGTGTATTTAATCAAATTTCCAAACTTAAATAATGAAAAAATATTGTATCTTCCCTTGATAACTGATCAATCATCACTGTCTCAATAAGTTTTTCTTTCTTTTTGTTATTTTCAGATTTTTCCTAAGAAAAAAAAAACAAAAAAACAATAAAGATTTATAAAAATAAGCATTTAACAAATAAAAGTTTTTAAAAAATTGCAGGGTTTAAGAATATTCATAAATTTCTTGAAATGTCAAAGTTGGTCCCAGATAAGTATATGAACATTCTTTGATTTATTGATGATTATTGTTACTCTGTCTATCAATTGAGCACTTTCTTATTAAAATTCTACTTTCATTCATAGGTTGAATTCAACAATGGGTGCATGGCCAAGTGGTTAGAATGTTTGCTTTCTGACCATCAGAGTAGAGTTTAAAACTTACCATGTCAGGAAAGTGACTTCTTAATGTTTTTTTGTCTGGGTGGTGTTCCCAGCATGTGGCACCTTTGAAAAGTGTCTGAAAATCATATCATCGGTTGACCCAAGCCCGAAGATAGAGTGAAACTAGATAGACAGAACTATTTCGGAGTCATCGATGGTTGTGCTAGCACAAAATTGAAAGTCATCGTAACCAAGGGTGTGAGTATACTGGCCTTATTCAGACTGTTGATCACACCAGATAATGCACACTTTCCTAGAAACTGTAACTAAGGTCTGCTCAGTATAGTTGCAGTATAAACCAGAGGTGGACTCTGGGTGTTGAACAAACACAAATATGCCTGAGCAGGCGTCTACAACAGGGACCGGTTATCTGCCCTAGTAGACAGACATACTCAAATATGTGCAGCTAGCCATATATATATATATATAAAATGGACTAAATCTGACAATTATTTTAATATATTTATTGTTTATACATTATATAAATATTTAAGTAAATGCTCTGTTTATAATAAACACTATTGAATTTGTATTGTTACTTATGAGTTTATTCATATATAAGGTTTATTTATTAAAAATAATTTATTATAGTTTATTTATTAAAAATGCTCTTTTCTCAATATTCTAATTAGTAAAGATTTCTGTTGACCAATTTAACTATTGAAAAGATACTTTTTTCTTTTACAAGTATCTGGTAGCATTCTTCTCTCTCTCACATACACACTTTTTTCTCTCTCTCTCTCACACACACACACACAGAAGTATAAATAGGAATTGAATGAGAAATGTTTTATTGGATAAAAATGAACTATAAAAATATTTACCACTTCCAACTTGTTTTCAGTACCAGATGGAGCCAACAATTTTAGTTGAGCAAAACTTTGTTCCAATAAAGCATCTTCATTATTCACTCCTGATTTATGGTCACCATTCTCACAAGATTTCACCATGACTGATTTCTTTGAATCCAAATTAAATATGGAATTAAATTAAAAAAAAAAAAAAAAAAGAACATTACGCACATTAGATCATTATAATGAACAAGAAATTATATTCAATAAATTTTTTAAGAAGACAAACAAACAACTCATTGTCTATTTTTTTATTTTGATTATTGTTGGTCTCAAATGAAAATTTCCAGTGGATGTGGAGTTTTTGAATTCTATTCAAATTCTGTTTAAAACTTTTATTTAATGTTCAAAATGAATCTGTTTAATTAGATGAAGTTTATATATATTTACTTTAAGCATTAATTCCACTGATTAGATATTTAATTAATGTTTATTTTGAAGTGAAAAAGCTACATATATAGTCAATTTTAACCATTCTCAACTCAATTTAATTTTTATTTCACCTTTTTTAATCACTTTACTCCAGGTAAGGTGATAAAGCCACTAAGATGCAAAGGGTTACTGTGTGTGAGAGAATATAATAAACAAAAACACTATTAAGGAGAGAGAACAATAAAAAACAGGAATTAAGAAGACAGATGTTAATGATTGACATTGCATTTAAATTTTTGAAGATCAAATTTGACTAGGAAGAAGGAGTCAGAAGAAGCCACAAGTAAGAAATGTGAGGAAGAAACAGCATAGAACTTATAGTTATATCTAGCAGCCACTTCAACTATAAAATGATGAGACCTTGATGACAATCTACTACTGTAGTTAAATTCATAAAATCTAGTTACCATCATCAGAACAATTACTATAAAAGTAATTATAGAAAAAGCACAAGGAAACTAAGTTATGGCAGTGGAAAAGTGACTGAATCAGGTCAGGACTAGCATTGCAGAGTCTTCTTTGGGTTCTATCAAGAATTTTTAAATACATATCAAGCAAAGCAGACCAGATATGGCAACAATATTCAATGCATGGAAAAATGGTAGACTTATAAATGTGCAAGATAGAATTGGGCCAGAAAAATTGTCTTGCATGACACAATGAACCAACTTTTCTAGCAGCAGAACTATCAATTAATTCAATATAATCTGTCCACTTCATGTCTGCAAAAAAATGTTAGCCTGAGAAGGTGCAAGAGTCACTCTCCCGGAGGTTAGTATCAGCCATGCTGATAGAAGATAAAAAAACGGTTCTCTTAAGATGACTAATAGAGAGGATGTCACTTCTTGCCTCAGTTAACAACACATTGTAGGTCATTTTCAAGATCAGCAGCCAATATGACTTTATCAAAACTATCAGACTTACATTAATACAGAAATAAATAATTGTCATCAGTATAGATACAAAGCTGAGAAGTGATGACATCAGGAAGGTCATAGATGAAAATTAAGAACAATGTAAGTCCAAAGAGAGAGCTCTTGGTGACATCTGCATTAATAAAAAAAAGATCTAGAAGAGTGGACATTCAAGACAATTTTCATTTCACGGTTTGACTGAATCAGTTCAAAAACTTGTCCAGAAATACAAGAGCAAATAGTTGTGTCATCAGCATAGATACCAATTTGAGAATTGATGACAGCAGGACGATTGTTGATGAAAATTAGGAACAATGATAGAGTCTGAGATCACCTAACTTTCATTTCCAGATCTGATAAGAAAGATTGAATTAGATTAAAAATTTATCCAGAAATCCTATAACCTTTCAACTTGTGAAGAAGACCAGCATGCCAAACCCTATCAAGATATCCAAAGAAAAAGCCTAAACTTTCCCATTCTTAAAAGCTTGATAGACTCTTTCAGCAATAACCATTAACACATCACCAGTTGGTGTAGAGTAACTTACTATTGAGAATTCCTACATTGCAAATTACTAACTCCATCACATTGAATTAGTTTATTTCATTACATAGACAACCATTAATAATGTCAAACAATACACTATGTGAGATTTTATTATGCAAATTAATGTTTTCCCAATAAAATTGATGTTGGTAAAATTTTCAGGATAAATATATCTATATGAGAAATATATCATGTGAGTTTCAACTTATATACCTAATCTTATTAAAAATATTGCAAGTGACTTGTTTTGGGGAGAGTGTCAGATTTTATTACGCAATAAAACTAAATGAAATATAAATTATTTTAAATCCAGAAGACATAAGCCATAGAAGCACAATATCCTACATATCTGAATAAATTATTATTTTACATGTTAATCTGGGCTCATTGACAATCACTTTCATCCATTTTCTTAATTTTTCTACTCTTAACTTTGTCATTACCTGCAGAGGTTTTTATTGATTTCTAGTGATCTGCTTGGATATTGTTTTCTATGTTTTTTTTATATACATCTCTTAATTGTGGACTATAAATTTTCTATTCGATTAATACCTGAAAGAGGCTATTCCATTAATTTTGTATCTATGAAAACTTTTTTTGGCAAAATAGTCAAGTTTGAAGAATGTGAAGGTGCATTGACTTGCATGACTATATTCTTTAAAGTTTCTTCATTGTGATCTGTATCAAACAACAAAAAAAAACAAACACACCTTGTCCAAAAACTTACTATAAGACTGTTCTTATCTTGAGATTATCATCAGATTTGAAGGGATCTGTAAATTCTACTGCATATAATACTATTGTTTTCTAAGTCATGTCGGTCAACTATTGAGATGAATAACCCAACTTCAAGTCCAGTCAATGTAGCTCTACATTTGTATTTGTCACTTATAATTATGGTTGAGGAATCAAGTTTCCATTTAGTTCTTCACCTAAATTACATCTCTGTGTTCTTCATTTAAAAATGGTAATTTGGTTTTGTCTTTAGCCAATGTTGTAAATATTCTTCATCTTTTTTGTTTATATTCTTAACACCAGCTTCAAACATTTTCTTGCTTATGTTAACCTTGTAGACTAGCTGTATGGCATATAGGGTTACAGTCTCAATACATTAGCTGTTGCTGCTAGGTGTTTAGTAGCAAGTTTTGAAATCAAAGTTGTCCTTTTCCTTTGACTGGTTGTCAACCAAAGCTAAAGAGTCCTGCTATTAATCCTTAGCTGTTTTAGAAATGAATTCATACTTTTCAAAAGCTATTTGTGTGAAAGCAAACAAAATAGCCTCAACTGCAATTTGCACTTGAGATGCCAACATCTACTTTTCCCAACAATAACTGTGGACAATATGTTTTCCATTGAATTAATGCTAAACCCCACCCACACACAGAGTTCATATAGCTTATTACCCGTTTAAATTGTCTAAAATTTCTTTTTGTGACATTCTTAAACCTCAAACATTTTTATCTTTCCAATATTTTCCATTTCTTGATTGATTTCACTTCAGCATTTTTACAGTTTCTAAAGTTGTGTTCTCATCATTCAATAAGTTTACAATATTTTTGTTTCTCTTCTGAGCAGATTGATTTCTTACGACCTGTGCCAATATTCATCCCTCTAATATTAAAAAGAATAAATATCAATAAATATGCTATTATGTATATTTATTTCCAATATAATGAACAACCCATAAGTTGCATAATAAAATCTTACAGCAACAAATAAGGTATTGTAAATATTTCTAATAAAAGCATAACCTGAAATTCATATAGCATATTTATCATATAAATATCTCCTGAAAATATCAGCAACATCAGTTGGTTAATACCAATTTAAGGTGACAACATCTGACAAGTTACAAATCAGTCCAAGGAAAAGAAATCTTTTAGGGTCAACAATATTTAGTGGAATTTAGTAGATCTCACATTTAGCAACTGATTTTGCTCCTAACAATGCAAGTTTATATATATATATATATATATATATATATATATATATATTAAAGACATTTTTATGTTTAACGTTCTTTTTTATAGATACAAGTATTTAAGTAAATGCTCTGTTTATAATAAACAGTATTAAATAAACAGAGCATTTACTTAAATACTTGTATCTATAAAAAAGAATGTTAAACATAAAAATGTCTTTAATAAATAAATTGTCAGACTTTGTCCATTTCTTAATATATATATATATATATATATATATATATATACTGTCAAGATCAACATACTTGTACTTACATTCATTTGTCCCTTGCTTTTACGATAAGAGTTTTTCAATTCATCTTGATACTGTTTATACATATGTCGATATTTCATAGATGGACCTGGCAAATCTTCTGGAACAACTGCATTGTCCCATACATCCTTCAGTTAAATGAAGGAGCAAACAAGTCATTAGAATATTAGCATAAAGGGAAAGAAATACACATTAACCTCAAAATAAATTCATACATATATATATATATTATAGATGTTTTATATTTCTTCTTTGGTTTCTGTCTTTTTATGCTGATAAACTCATTCATTTATTCAAGAATCTCTATATGTATTGGACACTAGAATTAAGCAAAATATCTACACCAAAATTCTGATGGTCAGGCCAATTTTCCTTCTTTGTAAAGTGCATTGAGCTTTATCCAAGTTCTTCTTTGATGCAAATTTTATGATGGAATTACAAGTGTTTCATTCATTTTTTGGTAAAATTTTTAATTAAAAATATTTCTTTTCACATTTATTTCTTTATAAAATGATAAATAATACATCTTTATAAAAAGTAAATAATAAATAAGCCATTGTTCTTGGTTCATATATTTTTATAATCTTATTTATCTAATTTATATAATAATAAATTTAAATATTGTAAAGCCTTGAAAACATCAGTAAGTATAACAAAACAAAAAAGTAATTTTGGTTGTCTTTAATTATTTTATATTCAAAATTTATAAATCAAAATTTTCAGTAAGAAAAACACTATGTATATTCAATTTAAATTAAGTTTAGTAAAACTGACCAAGTTATTCTAAAAAGTCATAAGAGTAATATAAAATCTAATAGGATGGTACATCTTTGTAAAGGAAGGAATAAAAATAATAAAAGCAAACAGAATGAGAAAAAAGAACAAAGAAAAAGGAACATTAGAATTATTGTTATTCTAATTCCTTTGCTCACGGTGTTAAAAAAATCTCCCCATATTTGGATATTTATTTTTTCTGTCATCGTTCATATATTCAAAATTGAAACAAAAAATGGAAAACATTATTTTTATTTTAGTAAGCAACTGTTATTAACATTCATAAAATGCTGATTTTAATTTATTGATGAGGGTAGTATTTGAAATCTAACCTCTTTAACTTTGTCAGGAATATGAGGAGTTTCTTTAATATCCAGTCCTAAACTTGGAACATCAGGATGAGGACCAGAAGATGATTTGGACTTAAAAAAAAAAAAAAAAAAAAAAAAAAAATGTTTATTAAAACAACATGGAGCTATAGATCAATGTTTTTTTTACATGTAATTTTTATCTTTGATCTCTATTAATTTTCTTTAAGATCAAACAAAGATGAATGACAACAACAAACTATTAATGCTCTTCTATTGCTAAAAGATTTTGTAACAATCCCCCCCATATATATATATATATATATATATAGTGAGATATAGATAGATAGATAGATAGATAGATAGATAGATAGATAGGAGTTATTGTTTATAAAATAAAGTATTTTTAAAAATAAAATATAAGTATTTAAAAATAAAAAATAGAAAACTTAACTTTTTAACACAGGAGAAAGTAAATAGTAAATATTTAATTAACCAGGTATTATCAGTAAAGAAAAAGTTATGAGAATTAATTCTACAATTCATTTTAGAAATAGTCAAGATTTTGTATATTATTCTATTTTCCTGTATGAGTTAAGATAAGAAAAAGAAATACTTGCAATATATTCCCATAATTTATTGTCATATTCAGAATTTGATGCACTTTTACAGCTGAAATCAAATGTAAAGGAGATATTTAAAGGAAGCATAAAACTGCTTTTCAAAAATAGCATTTGAATTGAAAATGTTTCTTGGAAAAGTACAAATCATTATTAGAGACAGGATTTGTAATTAAGTAATGTAAGGAAAGATCTATTATTGGCTAAAAAATAAACCATTGTACTTTTACAATGGAGTAAAATTTGGCACCTTTATAAACTCATTGTAAAATCAGCATAACATAATGAAAAAAGGCCCCAAACTTAATAAAGACAAAGTTTTATCATCAAAATGTTTATGTTATTATTAAGAGAAAAGGCCAAAGTATTTTTTTAATATTTTTTTTAACCCTTTCTTGCATATTCAAAATTTTGGTTAAAAATCTTATTTTCCATGTGTCAAAAGGGGTTTTCATTAAAGATTAATATAGGAAATTTTAGCATCTTTTTGTGATAAAAAACACATTGATTTGGAAATTCTTGCAAAAATCAAATAAGTGTCAGATTTCAATGAAATTTCCAGGGATTATTCACAATTGAATGAAATTATTTTTGAATTTTTTTTTTTAGAAGATCTTGATGAAAATTTTTTTTTTTTTTTTACATCTGTTACCCCCACCACCTACCACCACTTGCTTAATTTTATGAAATTTCAAGAAATTAAATTTCACCAGTTTCATACTTATATTAGTTCATTGGAGAATTTAAATCATCAAATTTTTTTTGTAAAACAGAAACATCATTTATTGAAAATCTGCTGTGAATCATAAAAAAAATGCAATAAAACTAAGACATTATTTAATTAGAAAAACTTTTAATTGCTTTTATAAATAAGATTTATTAACATGTCTTAAGGAAATTTTTTTTCAATGAATAATGAATTTTTACAAGAATATCTTTCATTTTTTTTTTAAATTTTAATTTGAATAATTTAAGTTAATAATTTAAGTTTTAAATATCTGTATTAATTTGACCCTTTTAGATGATATTATTAAGCAAAAACTATATTTACTAATCATAAATGGAAAAGCTTAGTACAAATCATCAAATATTGAATTTTTTTTTATGTGTATACTGATTTTTGTAGATATGGTGGTCCATACATGACATTATCAGAAAATAAGAGCAGTGACTATAGTAAATTTAAAGTGAAGATTTCTAAAAAGCAATAAAACATTACAAAGAATATTTTCCTAAATTTTAAGATTACTGAGTACTTAAAAATCATATATAAAAGGTGCTCATATTACATTCAATTATTTTTTTATGGATAAAGTTTCCATAGAACAAAATTAGATAAACATCAATCTGTCAACACATGAACAGATTAAATAAACAGCTACTGACATGTTAAAAATTGCATTTCTGCAATATTTTAAACTTAAAGTAAATAATATGTTTCAAATCAAATTAATTATAATTTAAAGCAGCTAATATTCCTCAAATAAAGTATCAGAAAAGTATATTTTATTTTTTTTTTAAGCAAAATGGAGCTAAAATTAAATTTTTAGCAAAAAAAAAAAACAAAAACAAAACAAAACAAAAAACAAAAACAACTTCTTCAAGTCAATTTAAATTAGTTTTGAAATAGAGTAAAATATTTTGCTTATTAGAAACATTAAATTTAATTTATTAACTTGAAATTAAAACTAAAATAAAAACTTCAAGAAAGATTTTTCATTTTTAAAAAATCATTTTAAACCTTAGGTATCATGAATCTGTGGAGGCACCTAAGTAAAACTGATAGCATATCAATCTACAGTAATGTCAGAATTTCTTCAGGTACTCCAAAGACTGAGATTTAAACAAACTGGTTATTGGTTAATAATAGTTTCCAATAAGTGTTTCCAAAATTTTTATATGAATTTTCATTCAAGCCAAAAGATTAATTAGGACCAATATTTTTATCTTGCCATGAAATTGTGTTTAATTCAGACCTTTGCTACTTAAGTTCACATTTTATTTTTCAATTTTAAAGGTTCTATTTAAAGTACAAAAACAAAATTTCCTTCTATTTGTTATAATCTTCCTAAAACCAGATCTTCTGATTCATGTTACACAAATTTCCACCACTGGCCAGATGTGAATGCTCCGAAACCCAAGACTGAACTAAAAATTCCATCAACTGAGCATTGGCTCCATGTATACCTTCCATTTTACTTACATATTCAAAGAAAAATACAATCCAGAATTTTCACCCAAAAGCACCCACTCCCGTCTAAAGAAATAAAATAAAAATTTCAGCTGATCTGAGCCTAAGAAAAGGACATAAAAGCCCATCAAAGGGATATCTTTCGTAGTCAAACGGCACAACAGCCAGGATTCACAATGCTCATAAAAATGCAACCGCCCATCTCCAAAGACAACTTGCCAAAAGGCCGTCAGTGCAGTAAGTCACATCTCACCCTCCCTCTCCTACTGTACGCCTCTGCGGATGACTTTTACGATTCTACTTATCTATATCTTTCAACGAGAGACATTTACATCAATTTATCATTTGTTGTATTTTTACATTAATACAATTGTTTATTTCTTAAACCTCCATTGTTTCTTCTTTGTTCTGCCACCATACACTTAATATAACATATTAAAAATGTATCTTTATTATGCAATTTTATTAAAAAAATATCAATTTTAGAATAATTTCTAAAGCCAAATAATTACGATAATGAATTATTGATTCATTTGGCTTTTCAAGGATTATAAGAGTTTGTGGCATAAATCAATCAACTGTGATCTATTGTTTTGTTTTTAATATAAACTCTGTTTATCTTAATTTTATTGCTTTTTACGTTGGCCAAATATTTTTTACCTTGTTTAATACAAGTTTATTAAGCAGAAAATATCTTACTGCCTGGGTCTATAAAAAAACTGGGTTATGATATCCAAAATAATTATTGGGTAAGATTCAAGGTCGAAATTATTACTTCCAAAATTACTTATTCAGCTGTTTTTTCCACAGTAAAAAATAGCTAGAGTTTTGATAATGAAAGTGTAAAACAAAGGCCATAGAAGTTACTTATACAGCGTTAGATCAGGTTGACTCATGACTCATCAATAAATAAGAAAAAACCCAAAGATAATGACAATAGCAAGAGTCGATAAACAATGATTATATTGAAAAGAAAATTTAGCTCCTTTTAAATATCTGCAAATATATATATATATATATATATATATATATATATATATATACAGAGAATACAGATATACATTTGTCATAAATGGATATATCAATCTTTGATTTTTAAGCTTGAAAACAGCCAATACAAATTGTCATCTAATAATCATTTTAATTATTTTATAAGAATATAAATTATTCTTAATTAAATCCAGAAAGTGATATATAAGACTTACTCTATTGTAGAAACTGAAACTGAGGAATCTAATTCATAATTAGATAAATCCGGTAAAGGTTTCACTTTGTTTTCTGATTCCTGAAGATACCCAAGATCCAAAGAAGGAACACTGAAAAATAAAATGAAAAATTTATTTCTAATAACTTGATAAGGAATTTTCAAACATTTGAGAAACTTCAAATTTTGTGTGTACACTCGTTATTTGAGAAAGACAAGTTTAGACAGGTAAAAGCTAAATTTTCAAGTGATGATATTTTCAAATATCTATAAACTGATTTGTTATACATGTGTTGGAATGTGTCACGAAAAAATAAATGACTTCGTCTCTTTCTCGCCTGCTGTCGTAGCGACGGACACAGTCTACACTTCTAAGACTGAAAAAACTGCCCTCTTTCTCATTCCAGCCCTTTACATAGAGCTTGGTAACTCACCTATGCAAAACACCAACAAGCCAGCTACCAATCACAGTTCCCACACCTGCCCACCTCCACTCACTTTGGGGGTGTCAAGTTGACCGACCAACTCATTAAAATACACACCTGCACTTACATATTTTTTATACTGTATATAGTTGGTCTGTAATGTTTTTATATTTTTTTTATTGTTATATGAGGTTGTGTGTGTGTGTATATATATATATATATATATATGGACAGGTCTGCCTACAAAACTCTGGAGTTGGGATGCTGAAGGTAACATCAATCAGCTAAGTGACAAACTTTTTACTCATAATAATTCTATTAATGCTCTACCTTTGATATTGACCACTTTATTGCAAAAGACTATTTGTTTAAATCTCTTTTATCTAAATATCCCATTGACTGTCAGCATTTTTGGCTTCATACTATCTTTGACATTGCTATATATATATACACACACACACACACACACAATGACTCCCCAGGTTATGACAGTCCCAACCTATAACAATTCATGTTTATGATGCAATTTCTATTAATCTTGTTTCTACTTATGTCATTTGCTTAGTTTTGGAAGAATATGTCATCATATGCTGCTAGAGTGAGGAAGGTAGTGTGGATCAGTTTCTGGTTGTACACAATATTGAATTATTGTGCGGTCACTCTCTTTTGTTTGTGTTGTGTTTGTAGAAACTTACTTCCCTTTATTGTTATGGCTCCCAAGCCTAGTGTAACCTCTTCTAATGTTGGTGTTTCAAAGAAAAGGAAAGCAATCACCATGGAAATGAAATTAAACATCACTGACAATAAATATACAAGCAGCTTAAAACAATTTAATTTCATTATATGTATTACATTTATGTCTCCCATGTATTTTTTAGTCCTAATTATGTTAATGTAGGTCCTAGATTATTATTTTACTATTGCATTATCATAGGTGAGTGATGTAAAATTGCAGGTACGTTCTTACTTGCACAGAAAATTATGTTACCATAGCATTGTAGGAACAGAACTCTGGTGTAAGTCGAGGACCCCTCCCCATATATATTATTATTATTAATTTTTTTTTTTTTTAACTCTCAGTAGTGATTCCAGTATTTGAGCTAGGCAGGCTTCCCCCTAAGTAAAGTCTATTTCAAAGCAATAAGCAATGTCTCAGCAGAACAGAACATTCATTTGTTCTTAACCTGTAATAATTTGCGACTCAAGCTGTCAAACTTTGGTCCAAACTATTAAGAATAAAAATGTCCTTTTTAATTGACTATTTTTCAAGGTATATTGTTACGACTTCATAATTTAAATTCTTGAGTTAAATTTTGTACTTCATAATATTATGATATGAGCAAAATTTATTGAGGCCAATTCAGGCACATTGAATTTAACCTGACCTGTTGGAATGAATAAACTGTAATATGAACTATAAACACCATTTACTAAACTGCTGTAAATGTAAACAAACACTTCCTGTTTTCATTCTTGTATTTAGTTAGTCAATGATTTTGTGCTTACTAGTAAATATCATCTTGTTATGTTATTTAAAAGATATCTACGTCACTTTCGATGTTGATGGAATAAACATAAATTCATCTATTATGGAAAAGGATATAGTGTTAAATTTAAAAGAAAAATCATTTGGGCAGAAGAATATTGCAGAAAAGTGAGAAATTATCATTTTAAATCTAATCATCTACTGAAAATGAAAGTAGGTGTGTATTCATTTCAAATCAGATGGTATTGAATGACTGATTGGCTAATTGAAAATGCATCAGATATAAACGATATTGTTATCCATGCTTGCATTTTCAGCTCAACTTAGGTCAATGTTATAGTAATTATAAAGATATTTTGAGTGAGTGACTGCAAACATGATTCTAAATCTAGTCATTTAAATAATTACAAATGTTTACTATATGACATAATAACTGCTATTAGTGAGTCTTCAAAACTTGAAAAAGAGTGGGATAACAAATTAGTAGAAGAAAATAAACAATATTTAAAACAATAAATACTGTATTGGATCTTTGCTTGTGTGGATGTGATGAAGTGATGATAGCCTTAATAAAGGTAATTACCATGAATTATTGGACTGCTTTGCTGAAATAGCATCTTTGCATCATGACTTTCTTTCAAAGAAGAATTTAAGCATTTTTCAAGAATTTCAAGAACAATAAAAAAAAAGAATGACATATTTGCAATTGAGAGTGAAATAGATGTGATATAATTTGAAGTTGAAAGTGCATCATTTATTTCAATCAAGCAGATGAAACTATTGACTGTGTAATGCATGTTCAACTTTATTATTGTTAGATATATAAATGAATATGTTGGGTTGACCAGAAGTTTCCATCTCAAAAATCAGGAGTCAAGTGACCAAAATCAGTTATTTATGCATAGGCAACCAAGTGGCACTTCTGGTAGCATTGAAAACATTCAAAATAAAATACAAATTATTAATCAACCACTGACAGCGTTTCCCTTGCATTTTCATGGAACTTTTTTGTGAGTCAACACCTGCTTAATGGAAGCTATAAATACAGACAATAAAGCAAACAAGAAGCAGTTTGTGAATGGATTCCACTTTGTCAACTCAAATGATTTACTAATCCACTGAAACAGTTCACACTTCTCTGATATAGATTCTACAATGAATCCAAAGTATGAACTTCCTCTTTCAAGGGGTTTTATTAAACACACTTCAATGTGTGTCTTTGTACTTTTCCATCTTTATGGACTTTATTAAACATAACTAAATGTGTACATGTGAACTTACCCTTCTTTTCAAGGGTTTTATTATATTCACCACATGATGTATAAAGCAACCAAATAAATTATTTGTTGATAAAGAAATCTTTATCTTCTTGTTCATTTTAAATTCACTTGTTTAAATGCCTTGCTTAATCATTGCCTTGTTATGTGTTTATTTTTACGTTGGGTCAGGATTGCTTTATTCTGGACAGCACCCAGAATATTTAGTAATCACAGCCACTATCTTATACGAGTTAGCCACAAGAACCAAACACTTTCTGCACCCCATAAATCAACTTTTCCCATAATTGCCCTTGAGAAAGTCAGCTCCCACAAAAGATGTAAAATAAATGAAAGATTTTATGATTTTATGATTAAAGAAATGATGCATCAAAAGTGTACTGAGACTGATTGATATGAGAGAAAAATGTTTTAAACTCTTTTAGTGATGCTAAAACTAAATTGGTTAGCCAAACATATAATGGAGAAGCAACTGTAATAGTGGATGAATGAAATGGAGTATAAACAACATTGAAAGAGAAAAGCTTTAAATACAGAAATTTTATTGCTATGATGCACATAAACTCTAGTTTTGAGTAGAAGTTCTAAGAAAGTTAATGAAGTTAAAATATTTTTTATTTATGCAGCTTTAGTAAATTTGCATATTTGAATACAAAGCAGAAAAGTGTCTACAGATTTTAATATCAGCCTTCTATCACTGTGTGCCACAAGATGGTGCTATACATCTAGAACTGAGTCAGCTATAAAAGAATTGCAGGAAAACTTGAAAATTGCATTTCAAAATACTTTGGACAATAATGAAAAGTGAGATGAAGGTACACTCTGTAAATTATCTGTTCGCAAAATTGAATAACTTCACTTTCATGTTTTTCAGAAACTGTTTTCATACAAATCCATCACAAGCTGAGAAACTATTTGATATAATATAGTGTAAGCAATTTGAATTGAACTATATTCAGGATAATGCAATTTGTTGAAGATTGTTATAACAATGAACATTATTGAAGAAACAATGACAGACATTATTGAAGAACCAATAGCAGATATTGAACAATTAAATGATTCTGACATCCTTCCCATAAAAAGAGCCAAGAAGCAGCAAATAAACCATAAATTGACATGCAATTATGTGTTGAGATACAAGTGTACTGACACAAGAGGTTTTTGAGTTATCAGTTGGAGTTTGGTCGATTTTTTGCCTTGCGGTATGAGTGAGTTTCAGTTAAGCATCTGCTAGTTAGCACAGCGAGCACAAAGTTTCAAGAGTATTTCCACTTGCACTACATGTGTTCACTTCACTCTGGAAGGATCTGTTGTGTCATGTCGTTTTTTACAAAATTCCTTTAGTGACACCATGGCTCCGAAGAAAGTAAGTGTAAAGAGCAGTGGTGAAAAGCTGAAATGTATGATTTTGCTTGAGGTAAAGTGGGAAATTATAAAAAAAACATGAGGAAGATGTATGAGTAATGAATTTGGCGAGACAGTATGAGTGCTCAACATCATCAATAAATAAAAAATTATAAAATTAAAAACAAAAAAATTAGTTACAGTAATGGATAAAATGTAAGTGCTTTAAAAAATTTAAAAATTAAGTGATAAAGTTAATCTTCGGTATTGTAGATTAGGCTAGCTATTGCTGTTATTGTCTCTCTCTTTCACTCCTATGTTGGTCTATGACTTGTCTGAACTTCATGGTTTAGTATAGTTTATTTCTTTACAATTTGTTTTTTCTCTTTTTTATTGTTTGTAAACTACATTTCTTGTTTATCCACATATTTTTGCTTGTAAGAAGCCCACAAATACAAAATAGGGGTGAGTTTTAGGAAAATAAGAATGATTTTTAGGAACCTGGAATGGATCAGAAATATTACCATTAATTCAATGGGGAAAATTGATTTGAGATATGAATGTTTTGAGTTATGAGCTCGATCTTGGAATGAATTAAACTTGTATCTCAAGGCATTACCATATTTCAAAATCATCCAGAACATGTTTACAGTTGCTGAATGAATGATTTGTTGATAATGAAGAATTTTTATACTTGGAATTACTTAATGTGAAGAAATTTGAAGCATTTGCCCATACATTTGTTATGCAATATACAGATGTTTTGCAAAACAAATATCCTAATAGCTTTGATTACAAATCAAAGATATTTGTATAATGGCAATGGCTTTAAAAAAAGTGTTAGTCAGGCAGTGCCATATTAAAATTAATTCATAAATTGTTTATGTCTAAAACTGTTAAATTCATACAAGATTTCCTGATCCCCGCTACAACTTCAGTTATAAACAAAAGAAACTTCTCAATTTTGGACAGAATTTGATAATTCTTAATACATTTGGCCATCTTCACTGTCTCACATTTCCATCAAGAAACTGATACGAGTTGATTTATAATGGAAAAAAAACTAGAGAGAGGAATTGGCTAGAAAACCAAGGTATCTGGAATTCATGTTTAAATGAAATAACTGCAAATTTATTATAAAAATTTATTTATTTTTATTTTTAATGTACTAGTGCAGTGCTCATTCCCTATAATTGTATTACTGGAAATTACTATAGAAAAGCCTTTCATGTGATTTTATGATAGAAATGAACTGAAAATTAAAGAAGAAATTTTGTATTTTCTAATAGACTCCACTATACTAATATATTTGGTATTATCCACTAATATTTTCTTATGTTGCAGGGTTTCAACTGGTAACAGGTTAACCTAAAAGAGAGTGTAGTGCATATGTGCTCAATGTAATAATTTAATGCTGTTTTTTTTTTATTATTAATATTGGAGATGCAATTACCCCGAAGGCATAAGAATTCATAAACAACAATATTTTTTACATAGGGTGGATTTTTTGTCCTGTATTGTTGGTAATGATTAGATTAGATGTTTTAAACTTTTTATAGTAGATGATTAATCTAAGGTGTTTGTTAGGATTGTTGAGTGATATGTATGGGTGAATTATATTTTTAATTGTTTTTTATCCTGTTTCTAATTGCAATGTATCTGGTTTACAATAGATTAATTTAATGATGTTTTTATTTTTGTTTGCATCAGCGGGATGTCTCGTGTTATTTTTTCTAAATTTCATCAATTTTAGGTATCCCTTGATAATATGGTTAGGGAAGTCATTGTTGATTGTAATTTGTTTAATGTTGCTTAGTCCCTTATAGAATAATTTGCCCAAAGAAGAGATCATTTGGGGCTAATAAATCATGTTTTTTACAATATATAATGACCTGAAATGTCGACCTCAGTGTCTACTAATATATTTACAGATGCTCTATCCCAGGTATTGAGTTCTTTTACCCAGTATACTATAAAACTAAGAATGGATAAATAGGTCGACCTATAAAACTCTGGAGTCAGGATGCTGAAGGTAACATCAATCAGCTAAGTGACAAACTTTTACTCACATTCATTGTATATATATATATATATATATATATATATATATATATATATTGCAATGCTGTATACGCTAACAATACATAAAAACAATATATTATATAGTGTAAGCAATTTCTTACTGTGCAGGTCTGCAGCAAAATCTTTCGTCTTGTTTGCTAATATCTTTCAGAGTTAATGGCTGTTTGCTGGCAGATTTCTAAAAAGAAAAATATACAACGTGGTTAGAATCAACTTGAGAAGTGTGCTGAATGTTAATAGAACAGATCTATTGGGTTGGTGAGCATTTGTTTCAAAGCTCCAAATTTTGGAAAGTAACTCAAATATTTTAAGAAACTGATAAAAAATGATTCATTTAATGGAAATATTTTACTTACATATCATTATATAATTATAATTCCAGGTGATGATTTAAATATTTCTATCTCCTTTAGCACAAGACCATAAAGCATCGAATGAGAAATAAATTGTCAAGAAAATGAGGGTTGCACTCATAGTGTTTTGACTCCAGCTTGGGGTTTAACTATTTGTTCATAGTTGGGACCCTAACAGATGCTATTATCTTGGGTCATGGTGGACTGGGGAACGACATCAATTAAGAGGTGGTTCTGCACTCCTTAAAACCTCCCAATCAATGGCCTTGCTGCTGGATGTAGTTTATCATCATACCCAGGATAGAAAACTTTATAGAACTAAAGTATTTTGAAAACATTTGAAATATTTTACAGATAATCATGTAAAAATACATCTATATATACATCCTGAAACAAAAGTAATTAAGTAAATAGTGCTTTTATAACAAGGCAAAGAAACATTTTTCAATGCACTTCTATGCAATTAATGCCAAACTCACAAAGAAACTCACCAAACTGGTTAGTGGCAGAAAGACATTAATATATAGTGTCTATGTCTGTCTATATTTCTGAGATGAGGTATTATGTACATTATTTGGACTATTGTCCTCATCTTTGTTGCCATATTTATCACAACGTTTCGACTGTTGTACGCACCGGCCTTCTTCAGGTGGTTGGAATTTCGAACTTAACCCTTTATTTCACTCACTGGGGTAGACTCTTCTAGTTCCACGTGCCGTGTTTGATGGATGTCAGTTATCAGTTATCTCCTGCTAATTTTCCATCTGAAAGTTCTCCACTGCCTTATTGAACTCACACGCTTTGGGTCCTGTCACTGGATCTAACCAACGCCTTTATCCACTGTGCCATGTGTGGACATCTGGGTATGATTTTCTGGGTATTATAAACCTAATGTCTTCAGCAACCATTTTTACCAGTGCTCTTATTGCAATTTTGCTGTTGCCACACCAGGAAGATGTTCAGGTTCTACTGGACCATGTGAACTCAATAAGACCTTTGATACAGTTCACAATGGAGAAAGAGAGTAACAACACTCTCCCATTCCTGGATGTTCTAATATCTCAAACAGAGCATGGGTTTAAGACATCCGTATACCGTAAACCAACATTCACCGAACAGTACCTCAATTTCAACTCCCACCATCCATACAGTGTAAAGAAAGGGATCGTCCGTTGCTTACAACACCGAGCAAAAGTCATAAGTAGCGACCCAGAGACGTTAGATAAAGAATTGATCAGTATAAGTAGTACCCTACAACGTAACAACTACCCTGGGTACATGGCAGCAGCCCCCCAAAACTGGGATAGGTGGGTACAAGAAGAGGAGGACAACAACACTCAGAAAACAGTCTGCCTGCCTTGTGAAGGGGTTATCAGAGAAAATACAAAGGATCTGCGGTCCATATAACATCAGGACAACCTTCAAAAGCTTGACAACACTTTGCAGATATCTCTCCTGAGTAAGCCCTCCCCATAGAGGAGAACATAACTAAAGACTGCGTGTACGCCATCCCATGCAGCTGCGGAAAGGAATATAAAGGAGAGCAAGGCCACCCCTTCAAGGTAAGGCTTCAAGAACACCAGAAGGCTGTAACACGAGGAGAAGTAGAAAAATCAGGCGTGGCTGACCACATATGGAGAGAGAAGGGAGATCACCGCCCTCTGTGGGATCAGGTTGAGATCATTGACAAGGAACACCATTGGAAAATTCGTAAATTTAAGGGATCAGCACATATGCTAGGCCACAAAAATCTCCTGAGCCAACCAAGCATAGAAATAAATACAATATGGGAACCAGTAATAAGGAGTGCCAGAGAAAAGCAATGATAACAACAAAGTTGCAATATGAGCTCTGGTAAAAACATGCAATGATAACAGCAAAATTGCAATATGAGCACTGGTAAAAATGGTTGCTGAAGACATTAGGTTTATAATACCCAGAAATTCATACCCAGATGTCCTCAATGACACATGGATAAAGGCAGTGGATAAAGGCCAGTGACAGACCCAAAGACAGAGTTAATACCCAGTTAAGGCAGAGGAGAACTTTCAGAGGGAAATTAGCAGGAGATAACTGATAACTGATATCCATCAAACATAGCACAGTCTACCCCAGTGAGCGAAATAAAGGGTTAAGTTCGAAATTCCAACCACCTGAAGAAGGCCGGAGCGTACAACGGCTGAAACGTTGTGATAAATATGGTGACAAAGATGAGGACAATAGTCCGAATAATGTAAATAATAGTGTCTATGTCTGACAATATTTTTTAGATGAATACTAAATCCATAATCAACACCAATGTCTTTTTCTTAACCAAATTTATTAATGATTTTCCTTAAAAAATTATGGATTTTCCTTAATGTACAAAATGGAAAACAAATTAAAGACAAATTTATATTTGAGAGTAGGTAAATAATTGATTATTCAGTTGGGAAGTTGATATATAAAAATATTTTCTAAATGTAATAGTGAAAATCTTAAGATTTAAAGACATTTAAATTTTTGATAAATCTAAGATAAAAAATTCCTTAATTCAATATAACCACATTAAAATCTAGATTGTAATCTGACAAAATGATAAGATAAAGAATAAGTAAAGTGTATACAGTCTTTATCATATGTTTTTTTTATAGATACGTGTAATGAATCCAGATAATTTAGTTGGAAAATAAAAGAAGTGTCTGGGATTTTCTTACCATGATTTTTGTTGAGTGTTAAGAGACAAATGTTACTATTATGGCCTGAAAAAGGAAAAAGAGCAAAAATTTTCATAGATGTGTGTGTTGATGGCCTGTGTTAACTGTCTGATAGTGAGAATGTCGTGTGTCAAGGAGAAAAGTGGGTTTGATTCTCATTGGTTTAGAAAGAATAAATTAATAATATTCATAATTGTTATAATTATTTTATTACATTTGACACTATAATCAATTTTTATTTATTTACTTTTTTATGGATACAATATAGTGATAGTGTAATTAATTTTTATTTATGTATTTTTATTGATATGACATACTTCAGTTGATACATAATTTTGTTTGAATCCTTTAAGCCATGATTTCTTTATTGGTATTTGGTAGATTCATAAAAAAATCTAATAAAACTACTTCTGTCTTTTTTTGTTTTATTGCTATGAATCCTTTAAGTGATAAATGTGGCATATATTTATTTTATAAACTTAATGTATTGTCTCCACAGTAAGAAAAAGTTCCAAGTGAATTAGGGATTGACATCAGTCAGTTAATTTGGATTTCTTTAGGAAAAGAAAACCAAAATTCCATTTAAATGTGATTAGTAATTAACTCATATCAAAATATTAATTTGGAATTAAAATTAAATTTCATTACAATTAAAGTAAAAGGAAAAATAACTTACAGTTTTCTTGTTATTGATATTTTTAAAACGTTCACTTCGAGGTGGCGAACATTTGGGAGCTTCACTGCCACACACGCTAAGATCCATTTAAAGTTCTGAAGGAAATCAACAAATATTTTTATAGCAAAGAAAAGAGTGGGGGAAATGATAATCTATCTAAGTTCAAACAATCAGTAACTTTTAACAGCAAATAAAAATAGCTTAAATGTTATCTTTTTCATGTTTATATCATTTTTATTTAGCCTTAATGTTATTTTATTAATTTGGATAAATAGCTCAACATTTCTAAATTTATATGTTTTGACTTAAATACTTGAGGTTATTGTTATAAAAGTTATACTTTTTTAGATTAATACTTTGATCAGGGTAAAATTAGCAGTTGATCTAAAAAGTGATCTACCATATGTTGTTAGTTTTAACGCCTCCAAAACAAAACTAGTTTTTTGAATTGTCCGAGAGAAAATTTTTTGCTTTCTATCACCAGGGCTGATGCTAACCTCCTGGAGAATGACTTATTTCGCCTTCTCAGGCCAATGATTTCTGATGATATGAAGTGGAAAGATTATAATGAATCAATTGCTAGGAAATTTGGTTCACTAAGTCATGACAATTTTTCTCAGCAGAATCTATTTTATATATTTATAAGTCTACCATTCGTCCATGCTTTCAATATTGCTGCCACATATGGTCGGGTGCTTCTGCTATGAATGTAGAGATTCTTGATAAAAATCAAAAGAACCTGCAATGTTATTGGTCCTGACCTGGCATCTCAGCTTCTATCCCTTTCCCACCGCCATAATACAGCATCTCTGTGGCTTTTCTATAAATACTTTCATGGTAATTGTTCTCATGAACTTTCCTCTATGGTACCTAAACTTTATGAATTTAAGTGCAATACTAGATTGGTGGCAAATCCTCATCAATTTATAGTTGAAATAGCTAGATGTAACCATAAGATCTATTTTAACAGTTTCTTCCATCACACTTCTCGCTTGTGGAACTATCTTCTGGCTTTTTGCTTTCCAGCCAATTTTGATCTTCAAAAATTTAAATGGGATCATTAACTTCTGTTTTAATAACTGTTCTTTTATTGATCTCTGTCCATAATAGTGCCTTTTTTTAGAATTACAGAAAAGGGCTACCTTCAAAAGTTGGGATCATATTTTTCAGGTTGTATAAAAGGCAAAAGAAAAGGCATATAATTTTTTAAAATTAATAGCAAAAATAAAACAAAATCTTTCCTAACTTTTAATGAGAATTAATAAAATTTTAATTCCGCAAAATTTGATTGCTTCCTATTAATTTAAAATCAGTTGGATTTATATGCAAACCTAAATAGTAGTTGATACAAATGGTGGCTAAAACTAATCCTGACCTTGAAGACTAAATTACTAGAGAAGTAGTAATGAATACTTGTAGCTAATTATAGCTTACTACATTCTATTCACTACGAATTTTTTGCTTTACATATCAGCACAGACAGGGTATTAAAACTTAAATGTTTTCTTACCCAGAAGTCCTGTTCCTTCGTGATTCCTGGGAAAGTGCTTATGACAAATTACGTTCAAAACAACAAGTACGAACCTACTGTATAAGAAGTTGAGCTGATTTAGGTGAATCCCGATTACGCTCTTGTTAGGTTACCTAATGGTAAAGAAAGTACTGTTTCTTTATATCACCTCGTTCCTGTTGGGGAAGGAATGACAATGAACTTGAATCAGTTACAATAACCTCAAATAGCCCTATACCGGATTCAGATGGAAATAACATACCAAAATCAGAAGATACTGTATCACAACAAGTGTCCAGTGATTCAACTGAAGGGGCTGAACCAGGAACCTGTAACTTTCCTATCCCAAACATTTCAAAAATGCCTCCCACCCAGACAAATCTTCTAAGCTTTTAAGTGTATCACTAAAGAACCTAAATGACTTGGTATTGAATACACACAAAAAAAATTTAATTAATTTGGTTAAATTTTTTGAGACTGTATTCCTTTTCTTCTGCTGAAATAAAGTATTCTAAATTTACATTGTCAAAAAAAAAAAAAAAAAAAAAAAAAAAAGAAAAAATAAATACTGGGGGAGAATGTATTCATATTCAAATCTCCACCATATTGATACAGCTAGTGGCTAAAACTTACCCTAACATTGAAGACTAAACTACTAAAGAAATAGTAGTGAATACTTATAGCTAATTATAGTTTACGACATGATGTATAATACCTCTTTTACTATTTCATATGCTTCATTTATGAATGACAGCATGGTTGTCACACTTTTTGTTTTTTAAGGATAAACCATGTTAATATTCTTTAGTTGAACTTGAGTATCATATTTTGTAATGGAAAAATACATTTAAAAAAAAAAAAAAATTCGATTGTTTTATATGGTTTGCTGTAATATAAACAGAAAATGCAAAATCTCTTGAAAAATCAATGGTCCTTCTAGTTGGGGTAAAATGCTTGCTTATGTCAAGTTAAATTCCAAAAATATCCTAAATATGCATTTTTTAAACTTCTCAATAATCTATTTGAGATTGTGGAAAAAAATGAAATGAAAAATCAAGAAAAAAAGTAAAATTTACATATTTTCAGCTAAGCAACTTAAAGTTATTTAGGGGGAAAATTTTGTAAAACTCAAAATTATTGAAATATAGTTGCTTTTAATGCCAACAACAAATCTCACATTTCAGATAATGAATTACTTACTCAGATTTTTTTAACTTGCCTTATATTTTGATCAGACAATCTTCCCATAAAAGAAAAATGAAATATCATTCAACATTTGTAAACATTAAACAATAACACTTCGAAATCATAAAATATAAAAAAAATACATAATTAAAATAAAAAGTTTGGAATTGAATAGTCTTGTAACAAGAATATGAGATGAAGTGTCTCTGTTCACTATAGACTCAGAAACTAAATGGATTTCAATCTAATTTGGCATGCAGATAGGCTATGGGATGTTGACCTAAGTCAACAGTGAACTATCAAAAATAATATTAGCCATTTCCCATAGAAGTTAAATATTTATTCCTACATGGAAATATAGTGGTAAGGGAGGTAAATCAGATTTTTGTAATAAACTAATGTGTGGTTACTTCCCTTAGTCGTTTTAATAATCGATAAAAAGAAGTGTTTGTATTTTTACAGTAGAAAATTCGTTCCCGAGCAATACCTCTGCCAGTAAGAAATACGACGAAAAATAGCCTAAAAATATACAAGATTAATACAGGAGCATTTAAATTTCTATCTATGAGATAATATTGAAGTGAATATTTTAGTTCAATGTTGAAACTTCTCACTTCTGAAATGTAAGACTGTTGACTCAACAACGCCTAAAAAAAACGTGATCACTGAGTGATCAGAATATGAGGTTGATTAAAGAAATTTAAGGGCGCTAATAACTTATTTAGAATGCGAAATTTGTTTCGGGCATTAAAATTGATGGGTTGTTTAAAATAAAACAAAAAAAAAGCATTAAATTTTTATATAAATAGACAACATTTTTTTAAAAATAAAGTTAAAGAGATTCGTAATTTTTGTTCCACGGGAAGATGACACTTGAATTTATTTTTGAATAAATTAAATACTAATTAATACTGGTTTATTTTTTTTACTACAATAACAATATTTAATTAAATAAAACATGGCCTTTTAACAACAACTTAGCACATAATCAATTGTTTTGATATGTTTTCCAGTTTTTGTTCATAACTTGTGACACCAAAACAAAAAGAAACGAAAATGAATTAGAAAATATTTTCTATTTAATTTTCACGAGAATTTTTTTTTTTTATTAGGACTCCGCATTATTGGGTCAGAGAAAGTTATTTATTTATTAAATAAGTTATTTTAAAAATGTTTGAAAGTTTTTGTTTAAATTATAATCAATATTAAAATCAACAATTGGTATTTATTTGCTTTGCAATATTTCTTCTTGACACTTGTATGATTTTATTTTTCAATCATGTTTTGTTCAGTTTGGCCAATAATTTACTTTATTTTTCAAATTTTATAAATTAATTTTTCTTCCAATAGGCAATGTCAGTTGGCAAAAAAGTTTAAAAACAAAAACTTTAACACTTTTTTTTTTAGTCTTATTTTAATTCAAAACTTTTAAATGGCGTCTCAAGTTTTTCACTCAAAACAAAATAAATGATTTTTGTTCCTCAATAGATTCTTAAAAAAACTGGTTATATTTTCTCTAGATTTACAAGTGGACATAATCAATTTTAATTTTAGCTGTGTAAATATATTTTTAACACTCGAGTATTTCGGTCAAATTGACATTTAAATTTACGTTCTGTTGACTGTCCTCAATGAGGAAATGATGTCCGAACTTTTCCAATTATCAGGTGAGTCTTTTTTTTCTTTCTTTTTCTATTTGAGCCAAAAGAACCTTTTCTTTTTTTTTAAGAATTTCTTAAAAATTTTAATAAAGGTTTTCTGATGTCTCAAGAAGAGACACAAGGAAAAAATAAAAACTTAATAAAACTACATAATAATTAAAAAACTAATATGGCGCACATTACTTTTTATTTCTTACTTTTTCTTTCTTCTTAGAATCTTTTAACGTTAAAATTTAACCAAGTGTACATTTTGAAACATTAAAAAATAACTTTTAAGTGGGAAATTCACGCAGAACTTTTAAATTATAATGATTAAAATGACTCTACCATACGATAACTTTTCTCTTTGTTCTTTAAATCGATGAAGAAGGAATCAGTTGGCTTGTTTTTAGTAGAAGTAAAAATTCATTTATCTCCATCACTCCAACGTTTTGGAGTTAAAAAAAAAAAATATTCCTTCCAAAAGTGAATAATACAAGAAAATAAAAGTGCGGGAATTGTACAAAACAGCTTTTACCTTTTGAGCCCAAATAATAAAATAGAATATTTACCAAAGAAATAATAATTAAACTAAAAATCTCATTCTTCTTTTGATTAACACTGATAAAAACATTGTAACTTCCAAGTTACCATGACAACGTAATGCGGTACTTTTAACAACACTACCCCCCCCGAAGGAGGCACTGACGTCACACAGAGCTAGCCTTTGATTTTCGTATTTTATACTCAACTCAACAGTGCTATTAAAAATGAAATTATTTTATTTAAATCCAATTCCAAGAATTAAAAATAATTTAAAACAGTGGAACAAACAATTTAAGGCATAACTAATTCATTTATATCAATACAATTCAAGGTCTGTCTGTTTAGTTTTTTACAACTCTTGAGATGAGGTATTGGATTTTCATTTACAATTATTGCGTTCCTGGACGTACTAAAATAAATATCTCGACCGCAGCATGGGTTCAAGACATCCATATACTAAAACTAAAAGCCAACATTGACCAGACAATACCTCAACTCTGACTCCCACCGCCCATACAGTGCAAAGAAAGGGATCGCCCACTGCTTACACCATTGAGCAAAAAAGCCATAAGTGGCAACCCACAGACATATGAACAAAAAATGGTCAGTATAAGCAGTACCCTACAAACAATGTAACAACTACCCTAGATATATGACAGCACCCTACACATACTGGGATAGAGGAGTACAAAAGAATAAAAAAAAAATTTTCATTAGAGAAGATTCACTGACCATCTTTGTTGTTGTTGATGATTTGTTTGAAATTGCTAACTGGCCTTCCATGATGTTGTTGGAGTGGCTGATTTGTGTGGAGTTGCCAATATATGTTTCTTTCAGCACATGCTGGAGGGGGGAAGGAAGAAACTATGTAGGCATAGTGTGGGGACAGTCATGTATCTCGTGTTTGAACAGCTTGGTCTCTACTTGAAAATCAAAATCTGTGTGTTTTTATAAGAATTTTTTTCCCCAAAAGTAAGTTCAAGAAAATTAGGTTTTAGTTTTCTCTGATTGGTCAAATATTTCACATGGTGATGTTAATTTTCTTGTTGCAGGATGTACACAGAGTGAAATATATCAGAAGGCAAAATTAAGTAAGATGAAGGTTATGTGTGCTTATAGCGTGCGTATCCCACAAAATATTGATTATACAAACAATTTAAGAACAAATTGCATGGCAAGAAACTACCAAATACTGTTGTAAAAGATTTAACATTAAATTAATTTTTATATCAACAATAAAATATACATGCAACAACAATCATAATGTTTGTGTTGTGATAATTGAGACAATGTCATAAGGAATGTTTGTGCAGAAATGTGGTTAAGAATTGTTGGTACTTTTTGATTCTTAAGAAAATTAAAATGATTTGGTTTCTGCAAGGAAAGAAATCATGTGTTCATTCGTTTATCAGTGTGTGTACGTGTGTAATTTACAAGTAAGAATAAATGTTATCAAGAATTGCTTGCCTTTGACTGTTAGGCTAAGTTGATGAGATATACAATTACTTTTTAGTAGTGAAATTGTTTCACTTTTCAAGTCAGCTGTAGATGTTGGTTAACACGTGGACAATAGTTGATGAATGTTTTGTTGAGATTTCAATGTGGTGTGTGAGTCAGTGAATTGTTACGCATGGAGTTTGGTAGCACCTCGTTGAAATTCAGTGGCTGACTGTCTGAATTGAGTCATGTGATAAATTTATAGATTTTTGTGTAGAGAAATCGGCTCCAAAGAGTTTGGTGGGAAATAGGATTCGTTTTGAATTTTGCTACTTTGGTGTTTATTAACCAATAAAAAGATTGGATTTGCTAAAACAAGATGATGATTGATTAAAGGCTTTTTAGAGAAGAATACATTTTTCTGAAGGGAATTAAAGGCTAATGTGGAATATTCCACATTCTAACCAATCAACATGATTTAAATAGTATGTGTTATATTGTGAAATCTTTTTTGGTATGTTTGTAATATTATCTGTTATTGGGTAGAAAATAAAATTGGGGTGTGTTTTAATATGGTATGAATGTGAGTATTGGATTTTTAGCATAAAAAACTGGACAACTGAATTCCCTACATAATCATGCACTCCAACAGTGATAGGATGCGTAATCAAATAATTGAAGTAAATGTCTCACAGAGCATCATCATTATCATCAAACCAAATATCTGGGTTGAAATCCAGTACTTATTCATGTGTAGTGTATCTTGGGGCAAGTACCTGACAGAATCCATCTCTCTCTAAGCCAAACCACAGCTGATCCCCATCAACTTGAGGTGTCACCTTAGTCATAGATACATGGCTGTTGATTTTATTGGATGATCCCTCCACCTTGGTTGTATTGACTTCAGTCTAGAAAATCCTCTGTCCAGTGATGCTGTGTCATCACCACACACACACACACACACACACACTTTCTTTCTTTTTGGAGAAATGTATTAAAGGAAGCCAGACAGTATAGTAAAAATTGTTTCATTTTTGTGCAAAAGTTTTTCATTGAGAATTGGCTCTAAAAAGAACCGCCAGAAATAACTGTCATAATGGACTGTTGGGGATTCATTTTTCAAATTTAGAAAAATATAACACCCTCATATGTCCAATGAAAATAGTGACTTTTGTCATCATAAATTTAAAATCAAGGTCTGTTGAGCCACTTCCAAGGGTATTTAAGAACATGGGTCAGTGAATAGCAAGAAGGCAGAAGGTAGTTAGAATAAACAGAGTCTGCTGGCAGCGGGAGTTAGTGGTTAGAGATGAGAGAAGGTAGTTAGATAGCTGAAGGGAAGAAGCCAGCTGGCAGCAGGCATAAGGAAGTGATACATCACACAGCAGGGATTAGAAGTCTCAAGTAAATAAGGTCAGCTGGTAGGCTCCCTTGTGAGAAAGTTGCCAGCAGAGTAAAGGGCAGAAAAGTTTGGGCTTTCTTGAAAATTATGCTAATGAAAAAGAAAAACAAAGAGTGCTCTTAGGCTGATCACAAAAGGGAAACATCAAAGACAAAGAAATTGTAAAAGATTGTTAAACTTACCTGGGTTTCTCAGAAAAAAGCATGTAGCATTTTTCACTTATCTATTGGGAGTGGGGTGCCCTTTTTTTCTAAGTAATTTCTTCTTTTTACGAACAGTTTTTGTTTCTCATTCACAAAGTTTTTTTCATTCATAATTTGAAAAAAATTGTATTGTCAATCTTTTTTAGAGCCAAGTGTTTATATAATTTTGTAATGTTATCTTGCCTTGTCCTTAATAAGGTGCATGAAAGGAAATTTTTGTGTAAACCTTTTTTGTAAAATTTGTACTCTGTTATATTGTTTTGTATCAGTTTAATAAATGTTTTTAACTTTCAAATTTTACAAGCTAGTTTAGAGTCTTTGTATCATTGGTTTCCATATTGTATTCATTTCTATGCTTGGAGATTTTTCTGGCCTAGCATATGTTCTGATTCCTTAAGTTTTAATATTATCCAGTGATGTTCTATGTCTATTTCAACTTCATCCTGCAGAGGGCAGTGATCTCACTTTTCCCTTTATATATGGTCAGCCATGCCTGATTTTTCTATTTCTCCTTATGTTATAGCTATATAGTGTTCCTACAGTCTTATCTTAAGGGGGCAGCCTGTTTCTCCTTTATATTTCTTCCCACAGTTGCACAGGATGGTGTACAACAGTCCTTAATCATGTTCTCCTCTATGAGTGGTCTTACTTGGAAGAGATGTCTGCATAGCATTGAACTACTCTTGAAGGTTGTCCTAATGTTATATGGACCACAGATCTTTTGCATCTTTTCTGATAAGCCCTTCACATAGGGTAGGTAGACCAAAGCTGTTTTCTGAGTGTTGTTATCGTCTTGTACACTTCTATCCCAGTTTGTGTAGGCTGCTGTCATGTACCTAGGGTAGTTGTTACATTGTAGGGTACTATTTATATTGACCATTTCTTGTTCATATGTCTCTGAATTGCCACTTATGGCTTTTGCTTGATGTTGTAAGCAGCAGATGATCCCTTTCTTTATACTCTATGGATGGTGGGAGTCGAAGTTGAGGTATTGTCTGGTGAATGTTGGCTTGCCGTATATGTTTTGAACCTATGCTTTGTTCAAGATATTAGTACATCCAGGAATGCTAGTTTGTTGTTTTCTCTATTGTGCACTGTATCGATGATCTTATTGAGTTCACATGGTCCAGTTTACCACTTCCTGGTGGAGGCCAGAGTATGAAGGTGTCATCTACATATCTCAACCAGAGAGCTGGCTTTAGTTATGTTGATTCTAATACCATTTCCTTGAAGTATTCCATGTATATGTTGGTTATTGCTGGTGGTAATGGTGAGCCCATCACCAAGCCTTCATCTTGTCAATATCTGTCAGATCTCCTTCCAAAGTATGTGTACAGAAAGTCAGCATCTCCATCAGGTTATCTATTGATATACTTATATGTTCTCCTAGAGATGAGTCTGAGGCCAGTGTGTTCCTGACTACTGATAGTCTCTCCTCTGTGAGTACCTTGGTGAAAAACTCACCATATCCATCTGGTTGGATTGAATGGGAGCATTTTTTATTATTTCTCAGAATTCATCCTTAGTTATGGAGTTCTCACACTGGTTGTTTTGAGGTGAGGAAAATCAGTCAAATAGATGTTGAACTAAGATGAGCTCAGACTAGACTCTATGGTAAAAAGTTGGTAGTAATCAAAATTCCTCCCTAATATAAAAGATCTAATGATACTTTGGAGATAGCCCTAACAGTTATTACCAACCACAGCATCTGTCAACTCTGCTGACCTGTCCTGAGTATCCAACTTCTTGAGAATCAGGATCCTTCCCTCCTGTCTCAGATTAGCAGAGCCACTGCAGATTTTTAGTCTCTCTTCATACCACTATATGACCAATCCCTTGGGGACTGTATGTACCATTAAATCTGGGTTTCTTACACCTTTTCCCCACTATCTGCTTGCTACTCTCCCTTTTTCCACAATAATGAAGCCTGGGAAGACAGTGTGTGTAGGGAAGTGATGGTGTGGTCCCAACATCTGGTTAGATTTTCTGACCAGATGTGTGGGCAAGACTGCAGTTACTTCTTCCATGGATGGAGTAGGTGGAGAGTGATCTTGAGAGCTGACTTCACAACTGGGGCTTTCTTTCCTGGGTAAGCTTCAGAGAGATGACCAGTCTTCTTACAGTGCCAGCATGCCAGTCTTCTTCCCACAATGATGACCTTTGACATCCAAGCAGTTGGGGATGGAGGTGTAGACTTTGTAATCTGTCATTATAGTTTCATTCTCCATGCATAATGAACAAAGAACACAGTCAAATGTTCCAAAATCATAGTAGGAAACTTAAAAAATAGTCACTCAGTTCCAGTACTGAACATTATATTCAAAATCAATGTTTAACTTCACAAACATTGTGTGATTCTAATGTGGAACATTCTATTGACCACAGCAGATGTCAGTTTTGTCATGAAAGATAACATAGCTTGAATAAAGGGACTATTTTCATATCATCTTATATTTGTTATATTGTCTTTCAAAATAAGAATAAATAGAATTGTTGAAATGTTCTCAGCCTAACCAAGAAACTCTTCACAAAATATTTTTCTGATTCTTAGTCATTTTGTCAGATTTTACAAAAAGTATTAATCTAAAATCTTTTTAATATTCCCACATATATATTTTTTACTTGAGCTTTTCATGTCTCCAGCAAGCCATACCTCAATAATTCTTTCCAGTGGCTTTTAAATTCTTATTTAGTAGGTTTTCTGAATAATTTATCTTTTTTCCTCAATATTGTCTCATTCCATTTCCATTTATTTACTTATGTTTTTATATTTTGTTATTCTTGCTGCTTATAAGATGTATTTCATTCCTTAAAAGAGGCATTTGACTGGATTTGGCATGCTGATCTTCTTCACAAATAGAATTGCTTCTGGATGAATTTTTTTATTTGATTAAATCTTTTTATCAGATTGTGAAATGAAGGTTGTCTTGAATGGCCACTCTTCTCGTTCAGGGCTCTATTCTTGAACCTAATTTATTCCTAATTTTTATGAATGACTTTTTTCATGACATCAGTTATCAGTTTTTTATCTATGCTGATGACACAATTTATTTCTGTGTTAATGTAAGCCTGGTAGGTTATAAAATCAAATTGACTGCTGATCTTGAAAATGATGTAAAATCTATTATTAACTGGGGCAAGAAGTGACTTGTCTATTTGAACACCTTCAAAATGAAACTGATATTTTTTAATCATCTTAAGAGAACCTTTTTTCCCTTCTATCAACATGGCTGATGCTAACCTCCAGGAGAGTAACTGATTACATCTTCTCAGTCTAATGTTTTCCACTGAAATAAAATGGAATGATGATATTGAGTCAACTGCTAAATGTGCTGCTAGGAAAGTTGGTTCACTATGTTGTGCTACACAATCTTTCATACCGGTAGCCATTTTCCACATTTAGAAATGTACAATTCACCCGTGAATTGAATATTGTTGCCACATCTTGTCTGATGCTTCTGCAATATGTCTAAAGATTCTTACAAAATCCAAAGAAGAATCTGCAATATTATCAGTTTTAACCTGGCATCTCAACTTCAATCACTTTCTCATCATCATAACATAACTTCCTTATGCCTTTTCTATAAATATTTTCATGGCAATTGTTCTAATGAGGTTTCCTCTTTGATACCTCAACTTCATGAATTTAAGCATAGTATTAGAATGGCAGTTAGGTCTCACAATTTTACTCTTGAAATTGCTATATGTAACTATAAATTCTATTCTAATAATTTCTTACATTTCTCACCTGAGAGTCTCTTTGGACTTCTTGCTTTCCTGTCAACTATGATTTTCAAAAATGTAAATACATTGTCAATCATCATCATATGTCTTTTTGAATCCTCTTCTTTTATTGTCCTCTCTCCTCAATGACATAGTATGCCTATATTGTTTTATGTAGGGTGAAATGATTATTAAAAAACAAAACTAAAGTAAACTTTTGGTAATATTCGGCAGTTGTGTTTTGGCAAATTCTGACATCTTCATGATGTGTTTACATAACTAAATGTCCCCCTACTTTGCTTAAAAATGAATATTTATTTGAAGCAAAATTAGGGGATAAAAAAAGGAATCATTTTTTGAGAAGGAGAATAAAGAATTAGACAAAATTTCATTTTTATATATTCTCAGGTAAGAAATGTTTAATTTTTCAAAAAAATTAAAAGTCTAGATTTTATGTTAAATTTTATTTGCAACTTTGTTTTTCTTTGCTAAATTTACTTCCACAAAAGCCATGGACATTGACAAAATGATTGGAAAAGAAGTGAGATGGCATATATAGAAAGATTCCACATGTTGTACAGAATCTACCTCATGATTATGCTTTTTGTCTTTGTACCATTTTTAAGCTACATCTGAATTATATACAGAGATATAAGTTCAAACATACCGTTCTTATATCCAATTTGAAATGCTTGATGGAAACATCTTTACTTTCTGACTTTATAAATACATTTTTTAATTCTAGATTTTAAACCTCAGCAGTAAGAGAATCTTTGTCAGTCTACAACCTTAAAAATGGTACACTATTTACATTATTTGGACTATTGCCCTCATCTTTGTCGCCATATTTATTACAATGTTTTAGCCGTTGTACGCTCCGGCGTTCTTCAGATGGTTGGAATGTCGAACTGAATCCTTTATTTTGTTCACTGGGGTAGACTGTTCTAGTTACAGGTGTCGTATCTAATGGATGTCAATTAATTCCCCTCTCCAACTTCTCCACTGCCTTGTATTGAACTCACACTCTTTGGGTCCATTCACTGGATCTAACTAACGCCTTTATCCACTGAGCCATATGTCCTTGAAGAAGGCCAGAGCGTACAACAGTCAAAATGTTGTAATAAATATGGCGACAAAGATGAGGACAATAGTCCGAATAATGTAAACAGTGTATATAATACCTCATCTCAGAAATATAGAAAGATACTGAAAGGCCAAAACGTTGTAATAAATATGGCAACAAAGATGAACACAATAGTCTGAATAATGTAAATAGTGT